CTAGATCTGGTTCCATTAAGTAGAACAGATTATGGTAGTTACGCTAAGTGAGGACAGAAAAACAGGCTGACAGCAGGGGAACTTCCGAGCTTCAAAAGTGTCCGTTATGCAGACAAAGAAACATGTTGTCTGCCATTGTCCTTAGGGGAACTAAGAACCTTACATTTTCTGATCGTTCTTAAATAGAAGCCATTCCACGAACCATACAAATAAAGGGTGTTAGGAGGGCTGCGATCACTGGGTCATCTTGTAGGAGTTCGTGACGGACGACGCCTTCGGAAACTATTCAAATAGAGGGTATCCCCTTCTGAATGACCCAATCGCTTCAAAATAATATAAACGGGTAACTGATAACTGATTTCTTGATTGGGTCTTGCAGAGAATATTTACAAGTGTTCATGATGAAAATGATATCCTCCATTTATCGGCTTTGTTTCGAAAGAAACCAGCGAAATCAATCAGATTCTCTTGCATGTTGCAAACTCAACATAGGTAGAGTTTGAAAAGTAGAGTTTCAGAAGGGCGATACGTCTACTCATTTGGCGAGTCCTCAAGTAGTATCGGTTATCCAACGTCATCATTTTCTGATGGTCTGGTTTGACTCATCATTCCCCGCAACCGTCTGAATAAACGTTATGAGCTCGTGTAACAAAGGCAATTCTCCCATTTTTTTTGAGCTGTTGATCGGCTCATTGAGAAATGTCGCCAGACTGGCATTGCACTGCTCGTGAACGACGAGTGATCGAGCGAACAGGCGGCGATAAATTGGTGATCGGTCACGATGGCAACCATGTTTGAACAACAAAGTAACCTCACAAAGACCTCTCGATCGACTAGTGTTCCCAGTTTGTTTTATCTCTCTCTGTTGTCGCAGTAGAATCCTTACTTTTATGAGCTTACCTCGAACGGACCGTCAAATAAACAGTCCTTTCCCAACTTTTAGATTGATCCCACTTCAAAGATTTTGTTCGCTTGATGAATTCCAACTATGAAATAAGTTTCGTTCCTAATGGAACATGAATCGGTTGCTCCTAACTTGCTCAGATTTCCATTCATAAACCTTTGTCTGTAATTTTTTGTCCATTTTACAATGCTCTGCTGATTACCTGTTGTGTTGCATACAGTCGCTGATGGTAATCCTCCCGCACTATACAGGACAATTCGGGCATCACTGCATTACGAAGGGTTCATGTGTGTCAGATGGGACATCGTACACCTCATTAGCCTCTTTGCTATTTTCATCGGCTGCTCCGCTCGGCCACACCAAGACACAGGTGACCTCTTTGATGAACAAATGTTATTCTTTCCATTACACATTTTCATTGTGTTTCAACTCATGCTAAGCCTTCTAGCGATTTCGTTGTTACTGTCATTTTTGTTCATAACATCGTCATTAATGGTGTGCATCAAAGTGAGGCTCAAACTTTACCGCATTCCTTGCTTCTTGAGCTGAAAAAAACAATTATGTGCTCTACTAACTTGGCGAGGCAGATGTGGTGTAGTGGCAATTGGCGCACTACCTCACACGCATGGTCAGGGGGTTCGAATCCCGGATCCATATCGCCTGGGTCAACCGAGCCTTCCATCCCTCCGGGGGCGCACCCCTCAGACGGGCTTAGGCTTAGTGAGATTTGTAAAGTAGAGAACGTCAGGAAACACATTTGTGACTAACAGGGTCACATAAACCATTTTGTGACTTTTGTGCAGGCTGGTGGGAACCTTCAGAATCTATTTCCTACCTGTCCAACACTGATCCATACACGTCCCATCCCTGTTCCTACTGTTTAGTATCTCCTGGAATGTTCCGAATGATTAACTTTACTTCACTCAATGATGGTCCAAATATGTCTCACAAGGTTGGCGATGGCGACGGCAAGCGGGGTCTCGGTAGTGTAAGGGATAAGAGCACGGTCCCCGGAAAGGACANNNTTAACAAAACATCAAGTCAAAACAGATCCAAATATGCTCCTAATACGGTTGTTATGGTCTACTGTACTACTCATTACAAGTATCGATTGGCGATGAATTTAACTATTCCAAACTTATGCATTGTTGAGGGGGCATAGATTCCATTGAGAAACAACTTACCATCAGACGGACTAGTTGAACACACAAACATCAGAGGAACAGGAAAGGTATTCATCAAGAAGTATGAAGTCTTGAGCACTAGCACTTCACAAAACTTGAACACTTTCAACTTTGTGAGCAGTCGTGAAGTTCTGATGGAAAATTCACATTTTCTTCACTCGAGCTAGAAATGGATCACGGTGACCGGAACCTCTTCTGAACTATCGCCAGGTTGACATCGCCGATGGGTTCTATTCTCTAGAAAACTCCCAATGAGTTGCGACCGGTCGTCGACTCCTTCGCCCATGCCATGCCAGTAAGAGTGGAACTCAGGAGGCACAACAACGGCGTGACATAGCACAGCAGGGGCAACGCTGTTCAAGGAAATGATTTCCTGATATTTCACCGGCTTTCTCAAATGTTCGATCAACTGATCCCTCATTTGAACGGCTGCAAGTTTTTTGCTCTTCCATCAACACGGTCCTCATAGTCAGCGTTCGTGTTTTTGACCCTTACCCATATTCTGTGGTGGTCATTTCTATGCCCTAGGGCTGCAGTTTATTGCTTTCAACAGAGTTCATCTGAAATTCGAACTAACAGAACGCAGCGGCGGGGGACGGTATCGACAAAAATCGATCCTTTGCTCCTATCCTCCAGTGCAGGGAGAAATCTAGACCGAAGGTTTAGGGTGCCGAGCAAATTATTTGCAACAAAAATGGAATTCCTGAACTTACAGCGATAGTAGCAGCACCTTATGCCTTGCTGCCCTAAGAGGAACAAACTCGTTCGTAAGCCCTGTTGCCAAGTTCATGTACAGATTTTTCAGGACAAGATATCGAACCTTCTCTCAGCTCGATTCGTGACTCGATCGTATCAAATGAAATTTCCGTGCATGAGGATGTGAAGAAACCTTCAGGTATGAGCCTCATATATAAGTTATTCATGAACTATCGACTTCTTTGACTCTTGAGCAGTGTCACAGCGGAATAGACGCGTTTTTCATTAAAAATTGTCAGTTACTGCTTCAAAATATTTAGAAATTCGAGGAGTGTTCCAGAAGCTGTTTCCTCCTGGCCAGATGGCGATTATTGTATTCTGCCGGGACGAGCCTTCAAATGCCCTGAAGGCTTTTACATGGGCTCTATATCACTCGCCGTTCCGATGAGCTTTGGTACTCGAGAGGTAAGCGCGCTCACGCGAGCATCAGATCATCTGAAAGTTACCGAATCAATAAACTATTCTGACAGAGTAAGCGTTGGCGACTCAATCGTCTCCCAAGGGCGAGACAACTCTGCACAACAAAACAACCGCTTTGATTACCCTTTCACCACCTAATAAGCTGAAGCTGTTACTTACAATTAGTCTCTGGGAAAATGCATCTAGTTAGGTTGGGAACAGCTCCGTAAAATTCCTGTACCTCAACCAAATTTATCCTGGCGAAACGTTGGGTCCTCCTTTTCCGTTCAAATAAAATAGGAATTTCTGGTGAGATAAAGAAGTTATAACACTAATAACAGTTTGATTATAGGTTACAGTATCCATTAAAACCACAGCTCACGTTAATTTTGAAGTACTTTATTTTAAACGAGCAGTGGGAATTATAGCCCAGAATAATGCATAAGGGATAACGAAAACGCAAAAATCAGCTTATTCGGAAAAGTATGTGGGCTTGAAATAGTTAAATTAGGGTTTCGACTAGAACAGACGACAGAAGTTGCATGCAAGGAGTATTTGGTCGAGCTACGTAGAGCTGGCGCCAATAAACTGCCTGCGTGTCAACGTTGCAATCTTCAGAACACCCTGAGAACTCGTCCGCTTCAAATGTGTACCTCGGCGAGGACGATTCTGAGCCCTTTAAAGAGAAGTAACGTACCTTAGCGCTGCAGCGCTGCATCATTTTAATCAGACTTCAATTTCACAGTCGTACATAGTGAGTACTGTGGCAATACGAAGTTCACATTCAGTTGAATAATCTTTATCCAAAGCACTCGGCTGTGATAAAGGAAACGTACAATCCTATAGCCGCAACGTAGGATCTGTTTTCATGAATGCAAGAAAGTCTTCCTACTCAAAGCATTCGCTCCACTTTCTAGAGATATTTTCTTAGTTCTAGTCATGCGCAACTGTTCCTACTTGTGGTGCGTCCCAACGGGATAGTTTGGACAGTGTGAACGCTTTGTTTCTAAATACTTATAAAGAAAACTTTTGCTTGAATTTTTCTGAAACACTAATGAACTTGATCGAAAATTTCACTTCAAAATAGTTGGCTGATTAACGGAAGGATAGTTTAAAGGCACAACTTACGACCGTTTTGAGGTACTCTTTTCAAGTCGAAAAGCGGACGTATTGGTTGGGAACAGTGCATCGGTGGCGAAGGAAGCGGGGAAATCCGCTGATTTCGTCTAAAATAGGCTCTTCAAAAGTATTGAAAGTGGAAGTTGTACCAGGTTACCATGACGGAAATGACATTTCAGGGGTATTTGGACGAGATTTCAGTTGTTACAATTGCGCAAAGAGCCGACTATATCAGGCCAAAACTGTCCGGTTGCCTTTCGTTGTCGATATGGGCCATGTCAGTTCGTTTGAGCTTTCTATATGGGTTTTCTTGAGGATGGTGCAGCCTCTACAATGCCTACAATAAAACTCGTCCGTCCATGCACTAGTACAATCTTTGAGCCTTTGAAATGCCTATCTAGGCTGTCTTCCGACCTATAGCGCCACATATAGTACGGACTGGCCTGGCGATTAGAGATTCACCCTAGCAGGATATCTCACAAGCCATTTTTACAGTGAAATGTACTTTCAACGTCGTTGAATAAGGCCGCTATTTTCAGACATATCACGAAGACAATATGGAGGTACCGTTTATTCGTCTCGGTCGCATTGGTGGCTTCAACCTTGGTTTGAGAGAGTACGACCAGGCGTATATTCTTCGGTTACACGCTTGCTGCAAAGTTCAAGGGACATGAAGAAACCCATTATGTCTCCTAGACTTTGATGTATTCGAGTTCCTACTGTACAGTTCCTATAAATCATTACGGACCAAGAGCTTACGTAATAGAGTTTATTTAAACCATTCTTCTCCATGCAGACTGATCGGCTACAACAATTTACGAACCACAAGGTTTTGACTCTTTCATTCATATTCCAATCGTATTGTACATTTTAATGCTACAACAAGCACATATGAACCTTGGGGGGCGGTACATCCGTGCGATTCGGGCTGCGCGTGGCAAATTGCGCGGCGAAATTTTCGGCGTTTCGAACGACTCCGACGCCCGATATTGGGGCACAAGCTTGATGTAGAGTAGATTAGTATGGTCAGTTGATTAATATACCCTAATTCAAATGTGGGTCTCAATAATAGGCGCTGAAGTCGTCAAAACCGCTATGAGTTTCGCCGCGCATTTTGCCGCGCGCAGCTCGAAACGCACGAATGCACACATACCCATGAACTTAGAAGTTAGGCTTATTTGTGAACAAGCGAGAATCCACTCAAGCTATGGTACATATTCCCATTTGCAATGCTTACATACATGGCTGTCGCACGACCGAAGCATTTGAAATTCCATCTTCTGAACGATTGTGGCCTAGCTATTCATCCACGATGGAATCTTATGGGATCTATTCACGATCTATCCAGCTGGTGCTATGAAGAACAATTTTTCATTGCTGTTTTCCGCACTTTTGGGGTCCCATCTTCTTGTGTGTCTGATCCCTTTCTCAGCGTGGATTCGTGCAGCTTCGCTGCTGCCCTTAATACAGATTCTCATGAATAGCGAAGAAGACCCGAACTTCAGAAAACTTCTACCTTGCAATCGTTCTTCGCCTTGACTTATACCCACTCCTGTAGAAGTGTTTCAGCATCATTTTGCGTTCAGCTTCATCTGAACCCATTATTTCATTATTTGCGATCGACGTAAGAATATGGCATACCACTGGGAGCATTGTCGTCGATAAACTGGGCAATACTCTTCCACAACTGACTTGGCTTCGCTTGGGCAAGTTGCGGATCAGTTGCAATCGCTTGGCACGACTAAATAAACTTCTGCTTACATCAAATACGATGGATGGTATCGATTATAACTTCCGTACCTGATAGACCATTCGCGTCACTTTGTCCTGTGCATTTTTCAATGGTGTGCAAACATGAGGGAGTGAGGCAGGGTCTCCTATGAACTCACATCCATTCTGCACCTAAAGCCGCACCATCAGAACAGATTTTTAAGACAACAATCAAAATTTCAGTACCGCTATGCTTGTGGTTGTGCCGCTTTTCTTGCATTTCGTACATCGATAAACCACTAGCCCTTGCTTCGTGGTACGCACCTGTTCGAAAGCATAACAAAATTCCCCACCTGTAAAGACGTAAGTTACAAGCATTGCAAGCAAAATGAGGAAAACGAACTGAGCGTCCTGCAAACTTACCTGGAATGGGGTATCTTATAACAGGATGAACGCCTCTCTTACTGGCTTCGATCACTCCAGGATAGAGCTGTCCACAAAGGCTTATATGGAAACTTCGACGAAGAGCAGCTGAAACAAAAGCGCTAAAGCTTTAACTTCTCAACTTCCATAGAACGAGTCTAAGCTGAAGAAGACGAACGGCGTACCCGGCCCTGATTCAGGGATTCCTTTTGAAGTCGTCGGTTTCACTTCAGCCGACGCCAGAGGTGGTGAAAGCGTCGTATTTTTTCCAGAATCGCTATCACTTGCTGAAACACCTGGAACCGGCTATTTGGCTCAAATAACGAATTTCACCATAAAAACCGAAGCAAACACTTGATTTTACTCACCTGGTACTGCTACTTCATCCATTGCAGTAACACTGCTGCAACTACTTCACCTAAAAGATATCTTTTAAAACACCATAAATAAGCTACGGATGATATAGGAATAATTAACGGAATAGAACATCTACTGGGCACTGGTAAGACATAGAAAAGTGCTACTCCGCAAGCTTATGCTCTACTGGACACTCAACACTTTAGAAATTCAGGAAAAAGGATCTCACAGTCCTCCAACGATGTAGAAAGTTCCCAGAAACTTTCTCGCAACATGAGCCCTCTATTTTTGACCAACTAGACTATCATATAGTCGTGTAGAAGTGTGGAGGATTTCTATACCTCTACATAGCAAGAAAGAGAATGCTACAAAAAAGCTGAACGTGGAACGGGACATGCCATCGCCAGAGCGCCGAAACTGGATGCCAGACAAAAGGCCCGAACGGAATGCCGCATACGCCACATGTCAAAGAAAGAAGTCATTCAAAGAGGTGATGGGTGGTTGGCGCGCAATGTACAGGCCAACAGCGGCACCCAGGTGCAAGTTATCTCGAATTCGAGCCTACTGTCCGCTCCTATGAAAACTAAATCGCTGCACATCGATTTTCCAAGGAAACCCCTTATTCTTCCACGCTGAAGAAGGGTCCTCACACGAAGGTGTTAGTTCGCAACAAGCACAGCACCCAGCAGTGAAGGCATAGGTCGACCTTTCTGAAGGGCAAACTCATTAGAGTCGAAGTGGTTGAAACGGACCTGAGATCACTGGAAAGATGCGTGTGTGTAGAAAAGGCATGTAAGAGAGCGGAATTAGAGCGAAAGAACGCAGTGTAGACAGGAATTGGAGAAGGCCCAAGCCATCAGAACCCTTCCAATGAGGTGTCATTCTCTTGAGTTCATACGCACATGCTTTGGCACTAAAGATGCAGTGGTGGAAAAATTACAAGAGAATTCAATTTCAAAGCCTACCCGTTGGTCGGCTCACTAGTTCACAAGAGATATTCCGATTTTGCTTAATCATTACCGCCACGTATGCAGTGAATAGAACTCTCCATGAGCACAAACGATGAGGAGATATCGGGAACGAGTATTTGTTGCGTGGCGACTTCATAATGAATCAAAGTCAATAGGCAAATGGATTCGACAGTTGGTGACGTTTAAGCCTTATTGGATGCGCTTTTCCCGAAATACAGCTTACAGACAGCGTTTTGGCGTAGTAGTATGAGCTTTCTCAGTAAGATAGCGTTTTGTTGATTAATTCCTCTTTGAATTGAGCTTCTTGCACGAAGTTTGCAATCCCCACTCCGGTACTTCTCAGTTTCGGCCAATGCGCAGAGCTTCGCAACCGTACATTATCCTTGATCACATCGCCATTGAAGCTGTGTTATTGTGGGATAATATACGGTTGCCAGCATTTTGCCAGAGAGCTGAGTTTTTTGTCTTCGCATTTTGCATACTGTATTTATCCTCGAACACATCTGAGAAGGGATTCTATGTAATATGGGGGGGGGGGAAGTGATGTTGAGATTAATGGTGGTACCTCCGGTTTACGCCTGCTCATCTCACCCGTCTACTTTAGGAGATGGTTGCTTGTTCTGGTAAAATTGAAAATATTCAAGTGAAAAAATTGACGTAAGCAACTTCCAGCGATACCATCTGTTGCCGTGTTCCCCGCCACCCCTTACCCCGATCCCTCCACCATCTATACACACCATATTTCCTTCCTCGTTGGAACTGGAACTCTAATAGTATGAAGCAGAAAAAACTGCGTAAGAAAGAGCAATACTAATAACAACTAGAAAAAGAGAAAAGCTAAGAGTTAAAGAGAAAAGAAAGTGAAAACACATGAAAAGCACCTAAACCTTCAAAAAAATTTTGTAGAAAATTGAAGAACCAACAAGAGTACTGGGAAGTTTTCCTGAGGTTTCATATTTATTACAAATAAAATTATGAAAACTATGTATATTCGCACAGAGAAAGCAGTAACTTGGTTTACTGGGCTGTTGGTCGGTCTAACAGTCTCTTCCTATGTTAGTGAGACTATGAAAGGTAATAATACGGGGATCCATCGCAGAATGAGGTATAAGCTCGAAAGGTAAATTGATATAATGTCACTGATTGAGCTTAAACAGTAAGGATCGTAGCATAAATGCCTACCTACGACCACGGTAGTTCTGAATAATGGAAAAGAGCTGATTCAGGTCAATCAAAAGCGATTTATTTCATTGATTTGTGGTGTGGTTGAGAAGGCAATGTTAGGCCAGGGCGTGGCTGTGCTCAAGACAGGCTTAGTCACAGAAAATGGAGTCATGCAACAGATTCCCGTCCTTACATAACAGTAGCCCCCACCAGAAAAAGTTATTTCACGTAGACCACAACTTTTTTGAGATTTACTCGGAATCTCCATTAATTTGAAATTGTGAACTAAACGATTGAATACCATTCAAATGAGAATCTTTAAGCAATCCCCGAGTTTTTGAGTACACCAAGATATTGAAAACGTCAATTAAACGAGCATACCTTCTTGGGAATCTGATGTGAGCGCTACTGGAACAAAGCATTCGATTGGCAATATAACTGTTAAGTAAGCTCAGGTTACCACTCAGACTGGTAACCTCGTTGTAACGAACTCTACTGGGAGCATTGTCAATGTTACTACTCCATAAAGAGGCAAGTTATCTTCACGAAGAAGAAACAGCAGATTTGATATCAGTCAACTGATAATCTTATTAACGACTCACTCTTACTCGACTTGACTTCCCTCAGCAAGAATAACAGCATGCGGACACTCACAGTGGGAGTTTATGGCGGATGCAGAACCGACGTGGAACCTTCCACGCCTTCACAGTTAGAATTTCAGATGGGTCGCCGGTTTCAGCGTATGCGAGCGATATTACGAACAGAGAGTTTCTGAGAGCCAAGCTTGCGTCTCTTCCACTACTTAACGAGTTTGAAAAAAGACAATAAATTTAAAAAAAAACTATAAAAATTATGGGGAGAGTGACCATGTTTACGAAGCGCTGCGTTTACGTTGATGACTCTTCTATAAAAGACATCAAAAGGAAAAGTGCAAAGATGTTACCTGGTTTACACAATGAGTCTTGGCATCAACCCACTACGATCAGAAGCACTTTATTGTTTTTCACTTTAGCCCTCGGCGAATGCTGACAGAGATGAGCGCTATTTCTGATGTGGCCCTCCGTAAATTGCAGCTTTCGAGTGGGGCATTTTTTCCAAGGACAACCAACCCTTTGGGTAACATGCTTCATCCCGTCGCTGAGTACGAATTGAGTCCGCTTATCCCGAGTACCGCGAATAGCCGTTTGTAATGCACCGTGAATGTAATGAATAATCATAGAGCCAAACACAACGAGTACAAGGCATCCAATCTGGATGATCGGAAATTCCGACTTACAATAACGACTTGACGAACAACAGCGGCTTAAAACTAATGAATTTCTTCCCGACTAGCAGCTGATTCCTTTCCCTCAAAACCTATACTGTTAAGGGATTTACTTTTGGGATGCAAGGGTAACCCGAATTGCCGAAGCAGAAAATAGCCCGGGACAGGAACCTTTGATTTATTTGCATCTTTCAGATAGCCTAACTCTCTTGAGTTGCTCCCTACACTCCACAGGTTGAAGATGGAGGCTATGGTACAGGCTATTATTGAATAGAACTAAAAGGATTCCTGTCAAATCCTCGCGCCTACTTACTTTCACTATTTAACCATATCAGGCTAAGAAGGTGATGCCGCCCAACTGGTTGTGGCGAAGTTAGACACAACTATTTTTCGATGCTAAGGTGCCATACGTCTTACGAGACAAGATTAGCAATGAAAACATCACGCAAATGTGAAATAAAGGAATCGAAATAAATAAAAAGGCAAATAAGTAAACAAAGTAACAAAGAAAACAAATAAAATTACCAAAACTATAACAGGTGCAGGTGCGAAGCACTTTGTGGTCGTCGGAACTACCATCTTACCAACCGACACTTTCCTCAACTTAGCTAAACAAACACAATGCACATGGCATTCACAAACGAATAACAACAAATTACAACAGTAACACCGACCTACAGTGTAATTGCCACACGCTAGTAAAAATGGCGGGCAGGACTATCCGCTGTTACAGAAATTTGGCTTGGTGCTAGTGTAAGGGAAAAAGGGAAAAAGGAGGGGACCCGAGGTACTTTCAAAAAGTTTCCAAATACAAGCCATTGCTAATTGTTATTTCTGAGAAGATGGAGCTAACATTGACAAACTCAAGACAACAGTCGCCTACTGGCTTCAACGCGACAGCACAATCTCCTTGTGGTAATAACTTCAGCCCTGATTTATGAAGTTTGTTTAAGAGAAACTCCTACAGCATTTAATACAACACCTTTAAATTACTTTGTAGTCCCAAGCAACCATTAGTAACCGTCATTGGCCAATGTTATGGGCTTAAGTTCTGAGGTTGGAAAGAACCTAGCGAAGCTTGGTTTAAGCTCAACAAGGTCATGCTGTCAACAGAGTCATCTCAGCAACTTGGTTTTCAGTGCCGGTGCCAGGTGCCGTCGAAAAGAAGAAGACCCACGAATGAGGTAACTAATTGCGTTTGTTCGCCGTTTCCTCTGCACGAGAGTGAAGAAGGCGATGATTTCGCTCAACATGAAAGGCGCCTCATACCCTTCAAATGCACATTTCGATGTTGTTGGTGCGGAGCTCCTGTTATGAAGTTCCGTAAAACTTTGTTGTGAAGGGTTCCATTTAGGGTGAAAGAGCCCAGCCAGGAACTGGAAGAACTGTGTTCTTGTAAGGTTTTTTTTGTCCTTTCCGCGATCTGCACATGCGCAGCAGCGAAGTCAAGCTTTCAATTCGCCATGTTTGACTTCAAATTGCACATCTGATAAAGGTGGTAACTATAAAGATCACCGCCGCTTTCGACCTCCATTCTCTCCTCAGTTTTATTGGAGGGTATCTATCGTTTAAGTCCAAAACATTTTTTGATTTTGTGCACAATTCACACCAGAGCAGACAGCGTTCCAAACGGATTCAATGGGTGAACTGAGGCTGTGAACTTACTTTTGACTTCTTCCAATATTCTGCAAAAGGTTAAGTGTTTCGCTCATACAAAAGTCGCAAAGGAGGGGTTTATACTGTGCTCCACACACTTCATCTGACAAACTCTGTGTTCTCACCGAGTGGAACGTTTGTCCCTTCAGACCGTCTCAAAAAACAGGGTTATGGTTCACTTAAGGTGAGAACATTTTACTTAGTACTATTTGTATGAACCACGAGCGGTCCAATGGAATTTTATAAATTGACAATGTCAGTGCAGCTCAAAACGATGAACGACATGACAATTTGAAGCAATTTTCTCCCGTGTTCGTTTGTATTGAGATTTCGACAAGGGTCAATTCACTTGGAAACCAGCTATTCCTCGACATTTTCGGCCATTCCGGCCATGAGCCACAGCGACAAGGTTTATCTTCCAATCGCACACACATGCGACAGCAAGCACTTGATCGAACTGCATCCAATGCCCCCTTGTCTTGTTGTGTACTTACAGATGCATCCGCATTGAAATATTGTCATTTCGGGTTTTGCAATGTTCTTCAATGTCGACGTAAAGGTCGGCCAAAGATGTGAAGGTTCCGAGGGGATAAGTTCATGAAAGAACCAAATGCTTCAGTTGCCGACGTTTGATGTAGTACTACATCATCAAAAACGTCATATTACGGTGTGGTTTCCCCCAGGTCATGTACAGCCTAAACGCTCCCGGCATTCCCACAGCTTTCTTACAAAAATGTGCAGTGACTCGGTTTTACTATTTATTTTTAGGTTCATTTATGAATTACTACATATCAAATCAATCGTGCCCATAAACAGACTTGAAAACTTTGAAAATAAAAAATACTTATTCCCGTCTGTGTCAATGAAAAGGTGAATCAAAATACAGAGAAGCACTTACTGTTTTAATTGACTGAAATATGAAGAAGTTGAAAAAATAACTTACAGAACTGTTAGAAAATAGTCAACGCAAAAAATACATACGTTCCAAAAGTGCTAAAGTTTCTTGAAAAAAAATTAGGCGTAGTGCATTGCAGACCACACTTTATAACAAGCTAATTATTTTGTTTTACAGTATCCCTTCACTGGGTAAAAGGGAAAATGCTTCGTTCCCTTCACTTCGAAAATCGTCTGTATTTGACCCATTTGGTGAATGTGGTTGCCATTCAACTTTCCTCAAGAATCTGTTCTTATATAAATCTAATAGTAAGGAGTTATTAACGACTTTGTATTCTCTAGGGATCGAGAATTATCTCAATTGTTTTGAATGCATTGCAAATCATAATCGATTGCCTGAACGCTAGATCTTTTGAAATAATCATAAACTGTGCAAGATAGGTCTGCCAGAACGCTACAAGCTTGAAATGATTCGATCGCCTTTCAATGAAATAATTTCGCTGTTAAGATTCGTTTGTTCATGCTAAGTGCGGATTTGGAGAGAAAGTCCGGAAAACTCTATCGGAGAGGACTGGTAAAACGCTGGCGGAAAAAGAAATATGTATAGAATGAACTGAAACTTAGCGAGGATGATTCAATCTTCAAGAAAGTGTCGCTATCTTGCTAGTAACAGATACGTCGAGAAAATCTTGAGCAAACTTCACTGCCAGTTACTTTGGGGAAGAATATTCGAACGCAGGGTGTGAAGAAAAGATTAGATCAGGCTGAGAATTGGTTCTTTATTGAACGACTGTCAATCAATGCAGCCCCTAAGAGCGTGCGGGGCCGTATCGTTTGCTCGTCGGGTTGATTTCCTAGAACGAGGCCAAGCGAACAGTACGGTCATTACAATCGTGTTTTTAAGTCCGTCGCCCGAATCGATTCGATGTGAAAAGGTGGGGAGAGACGAGTGGCGCGGCGAGCTGACGATTGGGGAATTGATGGGAGAGTTTGTATTGCATCGCGGGGGCCCACAACCAGGTCTGGTTTTCGGCCGCTCGGACGTGGACGTGCCGATAGCCGCAATGCGCGCCTGGAAACGAAGAGTGATGAACCTGCTCGGTGATGAAAGAGATCCATCTTTCACGAATTCCTCTTAATAATCTCGTCCTCCACTGATGGATATGTGGCACGTTCTCCGAAAAGTGCAAGTAATGCATTGGCACGATGACAAATCAGACCTAATAGTTGCCTCACTCCCTTCACGTACATTGGCTACCAAAAGGGGTTTAGGTTTGGGCCATGCTTCCAACCTGACACCTCTCGCAAACGGCAGCAAGAAAAACGAGACTGTATCGAAGGAAGGACGTGTACGATTCGTCGGAAGGCCGCAAAGTGTGGTCCCGTTCTTGCAATTGATTTTGTGTGCTGAACGAGAGTAACTCGAAGGACCTAAGGTTTATAGAGATTCTTCACTTGCCGATTCACTTTCAATGTGGTAATATCATATTATTTACTCGTCGTTCCGTTGGAACCACGTTGATAAAACATGTTTGGATGTTTATATGCAACCACCATGGCTGCAATCAGGCTTTGCTATGTTCTGCTAAGCCTAGTGCGTAAGCCACTGTCCTCTCCCCTCGTTACACTCAAATGTTTAGTAACTATCCATAAGAGAGGGGCGTGGCTGATGGACATTGAAGTTGCGCCATGGCGCCAGCGCAATGTCCGATTGCAGCCAGCGCTTTTTTCATGATGAAGTCATTGCAGAACGCCTCGTCAGCCACTTTACAGCTCTGTACATCATGGGTAACCTTCCAATTTCTACACGCTCCGGAGAGGTAAGGCACAAATCGACTATATATGGAGAGATCCTAAGGTTTATCGTGCAGGAAACATTGAACACTATATGTTTTTCCTTTAGAAGATACGTTGGGAATCACCTTGAGTACAGAACTTTATGTTTGTTTATGCAAAATCATATTTATTTTGCTTTATGGATACAAGACCACCGTGGTTGACGTTATGCTGTCTCATTGTTCGCTCGGTTACTTGCAAACACATCCTAAAACAAAGGAAACGAGGCTCCCATCCCAAAATTGCTGTCAAGCCTGGACTTTAGCATCAAGACAAGTGAATATTTGTGAATTTCAAGAATATATAACGAATTTCTATTCCACGAATGACAGAATTATCAAGTTTTATTAGTGTGAAATTTGCGTTTCATATTCAATAAGCACTTCCCACACACAACCCGTTCAGGGTGATGTGTCGGAAGAGCTACATCCTAAAATAAGAAGCATTTATCAGACAAAGCTCACATATAACAACTATTTTACCACTCAAAAATAAGTGAGAAAGCGAATTGCAATGTCTGCTGCGTTTGGATATTGCACAAAGAATTCTTAACTCCTCATGTATCTATGATTCAGTGATGGGCAGTTACGTATCGAAACCATCCAAGTGATACATTTCTGCAGTTGTACCCGCTCCTAGTTTGTTTAATATCTTCATGTGAGCTGCATGACCGATTAGCAGAATACGATAGAACTTCGGAAATTCTACGGAGGCTCATCCTTGATTTTTGAGATCCACATCTCCTGTTTTTCGTCTTCTTGTGCCTCCGTTTCCTTCTCCTCCGAAACGCGGTGAAGTTTTGCAGCAGCCCTAAATAACCGTCCCATATACATAAATGAAAGATATTGCAAATCAAGAATACTTTTACCTTGCAATAGTCCTCCTTCGTGACTTATACCCACCTCTGTAGAAATATTTCAGCATCTCTTTACGTTCCCTTTCATCTGAATCAACTAATTAATTTGTTAACTGTATCGCGTGGGCCAAGTTTTACACATACCTTCGGGAGCATTGTCGTCGATGAATTGTGCTATGCTCTTCCACAGCTGACTAGGCTTTGCATCAGCAAGTTGTGGTTCTGACGCAATGGCTTGGCAGGACTAAATTGATCAAGTGTGACAGTGCAATAACAAATTATTGACTGTTTATTATAAGAGCGTTACCGCATTGGCGACCGCGCCTTTTATATTGTCCTTACATTAACTTTTAATTTCTCTTGTAACTGTAGTTGGAGATGATTGATTCCTGGGACCACAATACCTCAACATTCTCTAGAAGGTTATGAGCTCAGCTGATACTTGGAAACAAAAAAAGATTATAAGAACACTTGATAAATATATAAATACTACAAGAGCACAATATGGTGTGGCCCGCCGGCAGGCCACGCGGTCGTCAATGGGTTAATAAATACAAACCGAGGAACCTTTTTACCTGGTACACCATCCGTGTCACGCTATCCTGTGCATTTCTCCATGGGACGCACACATGCTGCAAAAAAACAGGATCTCCGATGAATTCGCATCCATTCTGCACCTGAAACCATACCACTCGAGTAAATGTAAGATAATTAGGGTATGTTTAATTGTTTAGAAAATAAAATAAAATCTCCATACAGCTATGCTTGTGGTGGTGCCGTTTTTCCTGCATCCAGTACATCGATATACCATTATACCTTGTTTTGTTGTACGCACGAGTTCGAAAGCATAACAGAATTCACCACCTGAAAAGAAGTGTGACCAGAGGAATCCCAGCCGTATTAGGTTTGAGTCAAGCTCTATGTACACTCACCTGGAATGGGGTACTTCAGAACTGGATTAACACCCCTTTTACTAGCTTCGATTATTCCAGTGAAAAGCTTTCCCGTAAGTTTTACATGAAAATGACGACGGTGAACGCGATGCCTTTGAAAAGCTGTCAAAAAATATCAGATGTAATTCTGTTAGAAATAATCAGAGCTACGCAACGAGCAAACTACCTGGTTTCGATCCAGAAGCTCCTTCCGAAGTTGTTGGCTGCGAAGTACCTGATGTCAGAGCACGCAAGAGTGTTGGATACTTGCCATCAATGCCACCCATCGAACTACCTGAAGTTATTGGACAGCGATTACTAGTCAACTAAGAGCTTTTGAGGATGATTGAGCCAGCTATAACATAATTCTTATGCCTAACGATTGGGTCGTTCGAAAAACATGCGCCAAAGATTTTGTGGTGGTTCAGGCTTTTTTTAAAATGTTTTGCCCATCTGTATGCGCATTACATATCCGGTTCATTCTTTCTTGCATCTTAACACCATAATAACCGCTTCAAATCCCTTTCTAAGCGGTTCCGTATAAGCGTGGTTCCGATGCGTCAGAGCCGGAAAAAGAAAGGCAAAAATGAGCCTCTATCTGATGGACTGTCTAATGGCTACTACATCACAAACTCTGAAGAAGTTATGCCCATACAAGTGAGAAGTGTCCTTCTATCGTCTTTCTATGGAAACTTCCAAAAGATTATAAAAAAAAANAAAAAAAAACCTAGACAAGTGTGTTGCAACGAATACTTTCCATACACTCTAATAATCAAAAGTATGCAAAAGAGCACCAGGTGATCTACAGTGCGGCTAAGTTAACGGGATTGAAAATCGCTGAGCATTGATACGGTGTACATGACTTATGATGTATAGTGGCTTGCATATGACAGTTATTCAAGTAGCAAAATGTGAATAGCTGGAGGCGCCAAGAAAAAGTATGTACCGCGTTCCAACTATATTACTTCCAAATTGGCCTACACCCGATGAACACAGATATTCGTACCAAGCAGCATCATCGTAATTCTTTAACTGTCACAGTATTCAAAGAAAAGGTGGGTAAATAAGTAAATAAGTGTAAACAACTAACCTTGCGCTGTATCGGAAACTTTCTTTGATGTGGATGGCTGTGCATTATCCGATGCCAAAGCTTTTAAAAGCGTTGGATATTTGTTTGAATCGCTGTTATCTGCCAGGATGCCTGAAGTAAAACAGTGAATTGCTGCCAGTCAAAACGTTTTTCTGGATTTGACGGCTGGCGATGAGACACAAGGATTGCAAAATAGACTATTAAATCCTAGCCGTCATAAACGGCTGTGCTACTCAAAGGAAGGCGATATTGCTTTCTTGAAAACAGCGCAGACCGGTTTAATAACAACATCAGACTATCTCGGACGCATATATTCGAATATTTGGCACCGTTTGGTTCCGATGGAGTAGGAAAATAGATGTCCTTACTACTCCTCTCTACCCTCGTAAGTGACTCTAGGAGAGGAATAATTGACAGTCAGAACACATAGGTTGACGAAGTTGGGTATTTCGCTTTCAGTTTCATCCGAAAGTTAGTTTTTCAGCTTTTGCTCAGAAACAGGTGCATAATGAACTTGAACGAAAGGAGTAGTTGATTGGCAATTTCCCAACGCGCCGTTCTCATCTGATAACGTCTCTTACACTTCAAGTGATCAGCCACAGGCGTACAGATTCCTTACTAGCTGACTCTAATCGTTCCCGGTCCACTCACAATAGCCTATTATGGGGACCCATCCTTACAGCGTTTGGTTAAGATAACCCTGTTAGGGGGACCACTCATACGTAATCATTTCCTTCATACCAAAAGGTTCTATTTCGTTTAAACTCCTCAACAACATCCTCACTCTGGAATGGCTATCCTGAAGAAATTCAAAATACTAATAATTATTCAAAAGTCGTGGTACAGAGAAAATCTGGAGCGACTAGGACACAGAGGTCGGCGAGGAAGGCCGAGTAGATGGCGGTGATTTGTACAAACAACAGTTACATAGAAAAATAGAGAGTGAAGTTGAGAATGGTGTTCCAGTTCGAACGAAAGTCGATCAATGACATCGCACCCGTCCGCCATGCGTCGATACAATCGTCAATGGGGCCGCCGCGTCCTTGTTCGCGCGCGGCGAAGTGGATGCGCGAAGGTCATGGTCATTACAATCGTAAGAAGGCCGCGATGCACTTCGAATCGATTTCAAAAGCTGAAGGACATTTGCGGTAGTGGGTTGTTGACTGTGTCGGAGAATGCTCTGCAGGCTTCAACCGCCTTTTCAGTGGCTATACATAGAAGATGCAGGTAGGAAAAGGGTACCGCTCTTTTCCATCACTGATGGTGAGAGCAGAGAAGTAGGGGTGCCGACTTCGAGAGCCTATAACGGTGCTCAGGAACGTCTCTTAGCCAAGAAATGTGTTTTTTTCTGGCCAAACCTTAGGAGTGAAGGAGCGCCACGGTGGGTGAGTAATTGTATGTCCAGTTCTTACATAATCCCATCTTTTTGCACGAGCAAATCACCTCACCCACTGCGGTGCTCCTGTTCTACTGAGGATCAGGTAGAAATTATTATTACTTTGGCTAAGAATTTCTTCTAAACCCAAGTAGGTGCCATCGTTTGATGTAGAAATAGAAACTCTAGACCCTCATCGCTCGTAGCTGGAAGGAATTCTTAAAACGGCTGAAAAAATGTGAACTTCGCCCGTTTGACTCCCCTCCCTAGCATACGAACAAAGGGATTACAAAAAAATTATTTAAGGACAAGGAATTTAGCCACATTAATAATGTGGCTACTAGCAATAGTGCATTCCGCTTCATAACTATACAATCCGTGGATATCGGAGACGTAAGGGTTAAGCATGTTTTACGAATAGTTTATGAGAATTCTCCCTGGACCTCCTTTCACCCTATCACCTCTCAACTAATGATGGTGAGGGATGAAAGGCATAGCTGCGCTGGGTATAAACGCAAATTCAAAATTAGTTTTTTTTTTATTCATTTCCATACTTTTAGACGCTTGTACATTCAGTACAGTCCCCCTAGGAAACATAAAACGAAAAATCAAACACACGTGAAAACACCAAAAAGTCTCAGGACTTTTGGCGTTTGCCCATCTCGTGTGGGAAATGCGCCCTGCATTCGACTTCCATTGAGAATCGTAATTGAGATTGAATGCCCATGTCGCCAACACAATCCCTTGTAGGGCAAGCCGTTGTATAAGTCAGTGCTTTCACCCTCCCAGACAGATTTGGTACCGATTAACCAGCTCCGATGGGATGAAAGGCTTAGTAGGCTTAGGCAGATATCGATCTGGGTTTGAACCTGTAGCCGTATGTGTGATAGTGCGCCACTTGCCACTATACCAACCCTGCCCACTTATAATGTCGTTGGTTTCATGTTCAAACGACATCCAACGTTGTTTCAAACGACATCCAATGTTGTTTTTCTGCAACAATGGGCTCGATCGCCTCCATCAAGGCGAAGTTTGAGGTCCAACGAGGAAAAACTACTTGCTAAATCTCAGGTTCGCAACATTTTGTTGGTCTAGTGAGAGAAAATCGATAGTGATGACACAGGGACAGGTAACTACATTCACGGCCTCCTCATAGAAGGGATTTGCTCAGATCTCAAACGAACTCTCCAAGTGGCCGTTGCTTGAGATAAATCATCGGGTAGAACATTTGTTAAGGAGATAAAAACAACACCTACTTGGATTATTACATACCACCAGTCGGGTCACCCGGCTTACGCCGGGCCTCATTCCCTATTTTTACAAAGTAGAAGTATAATAGTTGGTGCCGGGGTGTGGTTGGGCACCTCACCCACACTCCGGCACCAACTATTATACATTTTTCATACACCGTGCTTCTTCACTCCTGAATCTCAGGTCAAAAAACTTCCTGTTCTTGGCTAAGAAACGTTCCTGAGCTTAATTAAGGCTCACCTCCTTATCTGCGCTGTAGCGTGTTAGATTGAAAGGAAAGGAAGGTCCCTCAAATCATTGCAAAGCAGACTTTTTCTTCTGACGACGTTTCCTATCATCGTGGAATTATCTGCCGTGAACGGTTAATCCCAAACTCCTCAGGTCGAATGCAGATACCGAAGCCTGCTATACCAAATATCAAATTTACTTGAGAACACAGATTTGCATCGATATCCGCCTGGGACAACCAGTCCCTTCATCCCTCCAGCATCGGTTGATCGGAACTAGACTCGTCTGGAGGGAAACAAACACCTACTTGTACATCGGCTGGTCATCATTGTATAGGGTGCATACGTCAGTATGCCACTACGATTATTAAAGGGAGTCAAATGCGGGGCGCATTCTTCAGACAGCACTGATTGACGCAGAAACTCCATGTTTTGGCCTTTGTATCTACAGAAAATTATCGAAATCTAAATCAGCTTCAATACGCCTTACATTACACCTATAGAGGTGAAGTATATGACCAGCGAGATGGGCCTCCTTGTATGAGATAGAAGATAAATGAGCATACAACATACAGTACAACTGGTTACTCCAAACTATTAAAGCTTTATTACCGGTTCAGGGAGTAATCACAATACAAAGCTGGCCAGTATGATAAAACAAATCACATACATTAAGATGCATAAAACGAATAGCCTCAGTATTGGATTGACAACGACACTTTTCCAAACTGGTGAATTTACGATAGTTCATGCGCGCTGTCGAAAAGCATTCAGAGTTATTCTACTGTAGCGTAGTGTTTCCGAAGTCACTGGTATCGGGGTGTAACCCATCAGAATCACTTCGTTAATCAACTTTAATAACTGGGTTAACTGAACGGGTCGAGTTCGGAAAGACATGCATCAAACCTATAGATTCAAAGAAAAATAGTAAAGTAGTGGTTCAGAAATGAATGAGCGTCAGTTTTGGTCCGGTCATCTTTCAGCGATCATCTGAATTGCATCGGTAGCCCACCGAAATACAAGCTCTTTTTCAGGATTGACCATCGAAAGGTCCAACGGAGCAGATTTCTGTAAAAAATCTTTGCAGAGCACCTCTGTGGAATAAAGTGGTCTCAGTACATAAGGTATTCCTTTCAATCAGATTGAAGTGCACTCATAGTCCAAAAGGGTCAAGAGGGTAAACAAGGCTACAGAGGAAAAAAGAGATGGTACCGGCTTCTGTTGCGCTATGACCAAACCATAAACAAGAACTGGGTACTCTTGTAAGTCTCCCAATTTTTGTCCAGAGAATCATTGCCATAACGAATTTTGCATCCTAATAAAATGACATGATTTTCAAAATCCCTCTAAGCGCACTTTTATACATATACGATCGGATAATACCCAGTCACTGTCATGAGGTCAATGAGCGATAGTGGAATATTATGCTAGAAGGAATGCTCGCAACCTGCAAACATGAAATCTAAACAAGAAAGGAAAATTAGGTCTATCCTTCGGAGTGTCCCACCTCGTAAATGTGGTACATCGTTCAGGAAATTTGTAAAGTCAAGTAAAGTAAGAAACGACGAACTTGGGCAAATGTCGCGACCACAGAGATCAAGTGGGCGGCTAGAGTGTAATTCCGTGCTCGCAAGGCATTTCGTATAGAATCAAATGCACGTCCACCCTCTACTGGGCAAGAGATAGCGAAATAGAACCACCGTTCGAATTCATCCCGTAAACCTTCGTTGACATGCTCTGAAACAACTCATAATGCACAAATAAAGACATAGCAGAGATCAATAATACAAACCTATGCTGCCTAGGTACCAGTCGGCTGCTCTAGCCCATAACATGGCGAGATTCTTCACCTTGTGAAGCTTCTTCTCCTGTCTGAAACACAGGAACATCGCTTTTTCAACCGGAAGCAACAAAGGTTACGATAACCAAGAGAATACTTCGCGTATATAAAGAGTTATGTTGAAGAGTTGGTTCGTTTGCCTGGTAGCGGAATCGAAAATCGAACGGCTTAGAAGTAAACACAAAAGGTAGATCGGTATGTTGTTATTTATAGCATCTCCGGAGCTTTACAATCATAGCAAGGCCTCATCTACATCCTCCTTTCATTATAACTTTTCCTCTAAAAGGTTCAGGGAACGACAAGAAATATATTTGCAGGAGACATATTTGGTGAACGATTTCAACAGTTTCCGCATGGTGCGTCTTGTAACGTGTGGTGCGTGTACTACTCAACCTAAAGCGCTCAAATTTGGTAGGAGTGCAGGCGGCAGGACGTGAACACCAAAGGTGGGTGGCGGAGGCGGTCTCCGCCCACAGGGGGCGTGGTTTGTGCGAAATAAATGTTTGAGCGGAAAGTCATTACTTCTGTCCCCGTGGACCTAAAGCGCTCAAATTTGGTAGGAGTGCAGGCGGCAGGATAGGAACACTAATGGTGGATAGCGGGGCCAGACTCCGCCCACAGGGGCGGGGTTTGTGCGGGAACTCATAACTCCAGTCCCCGTGAACTTAAACCGTCCAAATTGTGTAGGAGTACTTCAGATAGGATTGGAACGCTTATGGTGGTGGCAGGACCAGACTCCGCCCACAGGTTGCGGGGTTTGTGGGAAACTCATAACTCCAGTCCCCGTGGACCTAGAGCGTCCAAATTGGGTAGGAGTACCCCAGATAGGATGGGAACGCTTATAGTGATGGCAGGACCAGACTCCGCCCAGAAGGGGCGGAGTTTGTGTGAAACTCACAACTCCAGTCCCCGTGGACTTAGAGCGTCCAAATTTGGTGGGAGTACCCCAGATAGGATGGGAACGCTTATAATTGGTGACAGGACTGGGCTCCGCCCAGATGGGGCGGAGTTTGTGTGAAAAACTTGATTTTGGACCTAGAGCGTTCAGTCTTGGTAGGAGTACAGGCGGCAGGATGTCAACGCTTATGTAGGGTGGCAGGACCGGACTCCACCCACAGGGGCGGGGTCAGCGCAGAAACTTATAAATCCTGTCCCTATAGACCTAGAGAGTTCAAATTCGGTAGGAGCACAGGCGGCAGGATGGGAACACTTATGGTGGGTAGCGGGGCCGGACTTTGCCCACAAGGGGCGGGGTTTGTGCAGGAACTCATAACTCCAGTCCCCATGGACCTAGGGCGTCCAAATTTGGTAGGAGTACAGGCGGCAGGGTGGGAACCTTTGCGATAGTGTCAGTACCGGATTTCGCCCTAGGGGGTGGAGTTTGCAGAGAAATGTCAAAATGGACCTAGAGCGACCAAACTTGGTAGGAACATAGGAGGCAGGATAGGTACACTGATGATAGGTTGCAGGACTAAACTCCGCCGAAAAGGGCGGGCGTGAATAAATACTGTTAGTTCGAACCCAGACCGTTGAAACTTGAAGGCACAAGAGTTGGCTGGGAACATTGATGGTTGCTAACATAATAGACTCAGCCGCGATGAAGTCTCTGGATACTTTTTTCCTCTGAATGATCGCCTTTGTGATATTATACGATGTTCTATTTGGACACAACAGAGAAGATGGCTTACAAAAAAATTGCTCCCATTTCGGAGCTAATACTGAGGGTGTAGAGTTTTCCAAGAAAAAGGAGAATTCAAAGAGTTATTCACGCATAGCAAATTCTCACAGGAAGGAGGAACGCCCGGCGTAGCCGGGCGGCCCGACTGGTAAATTCTATGACGAATCTACGCCGACGAGGACCACCAGATAGTAAACATAATCCGCTTTGCATTAAGTCTAGCTTTGCGATCTTCTGTGGCCGTTCCAAGTTTCATCGCAAGATCCTTACTATATAAAAAGTGCTCGCGGCTGTCTATCTGTGGTTCTGTCTATCTGTCACGAAGTTCGATACTACACTAAGAAATACCTGAAGAGGTTATATGCAGTAGTACATCGAAGAGGAAAACACAACCCACCGACAGAATAACAGAAGGGTGGCGAACATTTCTCGTTTTTGAGCAGCTTGCAAACGATTGAGCACTACTTCTATTACCGAACGGTCGGCTATGTCATTGTCCACTATGAGAGAAGCTACCAAGAAGGTTAGCTAAAAAGGGCACTGCATGTCCAACGGTAATAAATGATGGCTTAAAAACTGATAAATAATAAGTGTTATTTGAATTCTCATCAGATCGCGGGCTATTGCTGTATTCATAGAACATAAATGATGACGATGGGTCTCCATAATAAGACATACCAGATACTATTGACACCCCATGTTCACATTCAGGCGCTTCAATTACCCAAACCATCGACGTTAAGGGGTAACACCACCCTCATCGTTAATCTTGTTTGCTATGCAGAGTTGTCTTTCCTCATTTTCAATTGCTTCACCGGCTACGAGAATGGTAAGAACATTTCGTCGAAAATGAGGTAAAAAAAAGAAATCTAACGCTTAAACTGATGAAAGTGATGCTGATATGTATGAGGTTACCTGGGATGTCCACCGCACGCCAGGAGCAACCAAACTGCGAACCACCACAGATTTATCCTGGCGACGGAATGTGTCGAGGGGAATGTCGACATGTGCAAGTTCGAGCAAACGGCCATATAATATTGCATCCAAATCAACGCTACAAAAACGAAGTTTCAGTGTAGCGATTAGAGAAGTGAAGCGGTCAATACACGAGAATAATAAAAAACAACAAAGAGAAATGAATATGATACATGAAGACATGCATGGAAACCGGTAAAATATTAAGTCATCTGACATGCGGGTTCAGAAACAGAGTCCCCCTGAATTTTTCCTGTTCAGATCGGCCATGACAACATAGCAACAGAATGAACTTACCAGATCTTTAATTGATCATAGTTGGCTCGCTTCAATTGTTCATCTGTGTATGCACGAAGCAGGACACAAGCGGCGCGCACAATTGTTCTGAATCCTCCGGTCACAGTAGATGGATCCTTCAAAAAACCAACTATGACTTGAAAAATGTAACATTGAAGAAATCAACGTCAGAATACCCTTCGCAGATAGGTTATTAGATCTAACATGATCTTTTCCATGTTGATAAGTTTGAGCACATACACAATTCTGAAATGTAAACAATCCCATAGTTCTAAAATGGAAGCAATCCCATGAACAGNTCGAAAGTATATGTATGTCAACATAGCCCCACCTGTCGACCGCTACATCAAAAAATGGCAAAAGGAAGATTTCATTTTCATCTGCAGTACTCATGCCCAGGTCAACAGCTGTGTTGCCCATAGTCTGAAAGTAACATGAAAGGTATAGAGTATAAATCTAATGCTGCTAATTTAATACTCACATCATTAGGATCCACTGCATAGGCATCGTCTATTTTGTCAGCAATCAGCCAATTCATTACCAACTGCTCTTGGATAGTCTCCAAATTGTTCATGTGATTAGCTTTTGCAAGCTGCACAATCACAGCCATTTTTTGCTCTGAATGAAAATATAGTCAAGCATCGTAACGCAATTTTGCAACAAAGAAGCATAGCAATTGTCAATAATGTCACAAACCCCGCTCCTTCTCACATTTCCAATCAATGAGGTCTGAGTAGATGAATCCAATCAACTCTTCGGGAGATTCTGTCAAATCGCAAGTTCTCTCATTGTATAGACCAGACTGAAAAAAAAATAAAACATTGAATCCTTATCCGAACAGGGGAATGAAATGAACCAATATACACTGCGATTTAATTAAAATGATTATATCAATTTGACAGAGAAAATTTTTACTTTTTTTAATTGACCACAATGCTCAGCTATTAAAAAATGTAATTTTTGTAAGCAACCCTTTGTCAGGCCGCATCCATACTTTCGCACGCCTTGTTAGGATCCAAGTACTACGGGTTGAAGTGTCATGGTTGGAGATTTCACTGGGTTCCACGGTCATCTGTTTAAAGCTGAGAAGAGCAAGTTATGCTTCGAGATCACGGGTGGAGTAGCGAGCGTTTAGTATCTTACCAAGCGGGAATATGAGCATCCCGCGCTACCCTTTACGTAAGCCTAAAGACGCATATTACCCGCTTCTCCCAATTTTTGAACTCGTTCAGCTTGAGCCTAAAGATCACAGGAACTATCGTGCTGAACAATTTGCTCACTTGGAGACGCAGGAAAATTTCCCCGTAATCTACCGTACATTAGTCCAAGGACACCCTAGGATAATACAACAGCGGAGTTCTTAAAAGTTACCTTCTTGAGAATCAATTCAGTGTTGTACTTCTCAATAGCGACACCAAGACGGTTCACCTGCTCCTCAATTGATATCCGCTCCGTATCGTCCATCGCCTCAAAGTAAACACGTTTATTGCTAAAGAGATGAGCAACTGAATGAATGTTAGAAGCCTCTGATTTCTCACCGGCTCTGAAGCCGGATCCATCAACCAGTGCTGTGCGATATTGCGGCCTATCTCCATCAAACGAATTTTCGTCTCACCTAAACCATCTTTATCCTTACTATATATAAACCACAAATGTCCGTTTTTCTGTATGTCTGTATGTCTGTTTCACTGTATCTTATCACTATCACTGTATCTAGGGCGTCGTTTGGAAATCAAATGGAACAGCTCAGACAGATTGGAACGAGTGGGGATTGGGGATGAACAATTGAGGAATGACCTGAACTGCTTGGGTATACGTGATCTAAGCTAGGCTCCGCCCACTAGGGGCGGGGCTTGCGCGAATAGTGTAGTTCACCGGAAATCTGTAACTCCTTTGCTCCTGAGCCAAGAATATTCAAATTTGGCAGAGATGTGGGTGGCAGGATGGGAAACTAGTATCAAAGTATTTCATACCAGTCGGGCCGCCCGGCTGAAGCCGGGCTTCCCTCCTTCTTATAGTGGGGTTGTGATAATCCGTAATCGGCTCCTCCTCATTTGGAACGGATCATATTTCTCGGAACACGAAATTCGACAGAGGACTAATAGGGCATGCAAGATGTATTCAAAATGAGCCAATGCTTATGCCTGTGATTAGAACTCTTAATCTACTGCTATTCATCCTAGAAAAAAAAAACCAATGAAGGTTCAATTGATAGGCAACAAAACCCTGATTTGTACTTAGAAAGGTTTCCGAGGCATAAGATTACCAATGGGGGCCCCAACCTTGTGGGCAGAGACTCATTCCACCCAACATGAAGGTTCCCATCCTGCCACCTGTACTCCTTCCAAATCTGAAGGCTCCAGGGTCAAACTGACATCTTCGCGCAGACCCTGCCCCCTGTGGGCGGAGTCGGATACTGCTACCCCCGATAAATGGTCCCGTCTCCCAAATCCAGCTAAACGCTATTAATCCGATCCTGCCACCCACCTTAAATGTTCCCGTCCCGTTTCCTGTAATCCTAGCGAATTTGAACATTCTAGGTCCGCGGGGACAGGAGTTATGAATTGTCGGTTGGACACACACACACTTACACACTTATAAACATACACGTACAGATACACATACACACAGACAATAGCGCGTTATATATAGTTGGATACTGGTATACTTACACAGTGGCAACTTCTTGAGGCACATAGCAACGCAAGACACAACAGCGTTTCTCGAAGTTGTCTGCATAAGCAATTGTTCAATAGTCGCCACTTCTCCTGAAGCAAGGTCTTGCCCCTGAAAATCAGGGCACTTATTTCGAAAAAAATTCATTGCACGCCTAAGAAATGATTCGATGCGAAAAACTTACTTTAGCTATAACGTCGGCGCTTATTTTGCCAACAGCTATCGAGAGTAAGCGCGAACGAGAGAATGAAGCGCATCCTTTCAACCAGAACACACTTCGCAACACACTTTGCCAACACTGAAGGATATTTGAGATCATTGGCGAAAATCCAAGAAAGCAAACATGATTTGATTCTTAACCTCTTATTCATGACTGTTCAATTGGACCCTATAAGAAAGATAGTTCCCGTTCAAGTTTACAATCTAAACGTTTTTCAAAGCGTTAATTCGCCCCTGGAGAACTTACAAGCACATTGTAGATGTCGAGCTCCTTCTCCACGATTGGAACAAGGAACCTCTCTATATCACCAGAAGCCAAGTACAGGAATGGATGGAAAGGTAACCGCTGTTTCGCCTAAAATGTATTTCACTCAAATGAACCTTCCATAAACTTCCACCTTCGTTGCCTAAGGCTCGACTCTTGAAGTGTGGCACAAATTTGGGCAACTACTAAAATTTCTCCCCAACGGCTTGCTGAAGCTTTGCCCATCTTGGGATAAATGAAGCTTCAAACCTGCCGCATCTTAATACAGGCTTCATTTAACCCAAACCCAGCAGAGATCAGGCATCACGGCAAGGTAGGTTATAAAAAGGTATCAAGCTTATGCCAATAGAAATCATGACCCCGGCGAGGAGGAATCAGTAGAGCGACACAGAGAAATGAGGAAGAGTTAGGACCAACAGAATAAGTAAAGGAAAAGCAATCTGAAGGCCAGGGCAGCTGCTAATTAAGAGATTTTGTGAAATTGAATGGAAATTCTGAAGTACGTCCAAGGGACCCAAGGCAGGTGTGCAATGGGCAAGAGTTGCTCTCAATGGGTGAAACATGCCGGCTGAGTGAGTGATGCTCAAAGAACATGTTCAAAAATCAGATCAATGAGAGAGGAAATTGGAAAATTTGGTACTGGACGTAATACTCTTGAAGCGTACATGCTCATCGTGTAGTGCGCCCAGCGGCCTACTTGTAGTCGTCAAACTGTACTGTTACTCTTACCAATTCTGGCATTGCTACCACTAGAACATCGCGTTCGTATAAGTTGCTCTTGTCGCCATCTTCATTGAACGATGATGCATGGGCATTGAATGAGGAGGACTGAGATCCTTGCTCAAAGAAGCATCGACAGTATGCAGCGAAGTTCTCGATGTTCGAATCCTACAATGTCATGTTTACACCCATGCATGAAATCAATTTGCACTCATGCTGATGAGCACTAATTATACGGAAATTCACTGATCGCCATGTCTCTGGCTCATCAGCGATAGCATACGTTCAAAAGCACCTTTCTATCTGTTGCCATTTGTTTCTCTCTGTTAGTGTACCACATAAGTTCTTCTTTGCATATGGTGCTTGCACGTCGGCGCTCCATAACGAAATTGAGAATCTGAAATCGAACACAGAAACCATACAACACTAAGGATTAGAAACTATTCAGCTCTCAGGAGTAGAACACAGTTTTGATTTTGGAGCTATTTGGCAAAAGGGAAATTGTAGAAATCTTCGATCAACAAGAAGTAAAACGAGAGGAAAGCTAATTTTAACTCACCACATTATATAAAAGCAAAAACGACTAACCGAGGTACATCCACTAACGAAGGATCGGTTTTCATCGTCGCAGGTAGATTGAAGATGCGAAACAATGAATTGTATGGTCTGTAATCAAGCTCAGAGTTTTGGAGAAAACCAGCCGAAGAGGGAAATAGGAAGGAGCGGTACAGTAATGGCAACTCACAGAGTAACTGTAAGGAGATATAGTGTATAGAAGGTCTCTGAATGCAGAGAACAATTTTTCAGCGTGTATTGGAACTTCGTTAACCTAAGAGTTACATTGGTCAAAAACGTTGGAACTTCTGTGATCTACAAACTTTTTGAAAAACAGCAGCCTTGCACTTACCTTCAAAGCTTGATGAGCAACTTCAAGGAAATTGATAATTTCGCGTTGATCTTCACTGTTAGATGCCAGCTGAACCAGTGTGATAGCGTAGTTGAGCAACTTATCCGGTATTTCGTTTAAACCGTAAAACTCATCCACATATCTGAAGACAAAGAAAGAATCAGAGTGCGAGGGCAGAAACAATCCACGACAGAAAAACCATCATTGAAATATCGGCATTCAAGATAATACTTCATTGTAAGATTATGGACAATTCGTCATTGTATCACATCAAATAGTCATAGAGTTGCAATAAAAAAATTGAAGCGATATTGCATGTTTTGGGTGAGAAAATTATCACCAGAAGTTTTAAACAAAAAGTCGTAGAACGCGGTAAAGTCAACATAAAAGTAATCCATAGGCTACAAGGAAAAATTCAATCAAATGCAAAATTCTCTTCCCTCACAGGACCAAATCCTGATCTCACGCACATGAAGCGCCAACCTTACCACTGCTCCGAGCCACCGCAGCAGGATCATCCATGTAATTTATGCTCTCTTATGTTAAACTTCAGCTAAAATATCTCATAACTCCATTCAGAGAAAGGCTCGCTAAATCTGGAAAGCAGATTTAGGACCAGCATCCGAAAACACTTCTAACAGTGTGAGTCCTATTCCAAATGGCCACTTCGTCTTGGATCCTTCCCTGGTTAGATCAGCAGAGCAAGCAAACCACTTCTTTGTGATAACATTCCCTCTTCTGAACTGTCCAAGAGGACCGACTCACGACCACTCATGATTTGCCGTGTTGCCCTGCTGAACTCTTCTACGTGATCTTACAGCAGAGAAGAGTTCATGGGAGTGTAGTTTTGTATGATCTAAAGCTTTCCGCCTTGGTGAAATCTTCCCCAATGTAACGCTACTTCGAGCAAAATAGCTCTTCGAGTATCAGCCAAACTTCTCCCGTCTGAGAATGTCACATTCGACAAGTTAGCTGCCATATTCTTCTTAGCAAACCGCTAACGAGACCCCTTGTGAGGCCTAATAAGTCGAGGGCTGGAAGCAGGTGAGATTGAACAATGATATTCTTGTGAGATCCTGGGTCGCATCCATACTGATCCACCAGTCTCAACAGATGCCGCAGTTGTTCAGCGATTTGAAGATGCTCGGGAATGCCATGTGCAGGGAGGGCGTGGATCTGAGCGCACACGCTCTCGAACTGGCGTGGAACTCATGACATTTTGCAATATCGTAGCACAACTCATCGCTACTTATTGGTTCTTGACAACAACTTCTTTTGCTAAAGCCTCTTTCTAACACAACCTATGTGTCCACGGTTATGGACAAGCACCCTTGAAATGGAACACAGCGAAGTTTGTTAGAAGAGCTAGTAGCTGCGTCCATAATCATATGAAACACCACATTTTTTACATCTTTTCTTCATTGTTTAAATTCAAAAGCAAACTAACTCGGTGACGATGTTCGGGTCTACTTTGTGTCTGGCGAATTCTTCGATTGCAATTTCGATGGGCTTTCGAGGAAGTGTAGGAGACAAGCATGCCTTTCCAAGTCGCTTGGCCCATAAGGTTTTGATGAAGGTATCCTAGAAAAAGTTATCATAATACATCTCCGGGCCAAACTTATTGGATGAAGCTCTCAAGTTGTTCTGTAAGCATTTTCGTTATAAGCGAATGAATTTCTAAATTCTTTTCTGAATGCAGTGAATTTTCCTTTGAAATTTCATAATTATTACGTAACAAGCACTAAGTTTATCTGCTCCACAAAGCTACATTTTTCACATTTACCTTCGCCATGACTGAAATTGAATTCAAGCTTGCGCAATGAGATGTCTACTATGCGGAACTTTATTCGAAATTCAGAAAAAGCCGAATCACTTAAATTGGAGCATAAAGCGATCGAGCTGAACCAGATGAAGGTCACTGATGGTACTGTATTGCCGTCCTTCGTTTTTGTCTCGAATGTGCCACTCTTAATGCTCATTATCTTGTCCAACCAGTAGCAAGGACCGATTGCAAAGAATTCTCCTCGAATGATTCCATTTCTTCACTCTAATGCTGTCGAACAGTTCGTAGGAGACCCATCCTGCCAGTTTTCACACCCTTCCAAACTGTCTCAGACGACGAATAATTGTCGTATGGTTAAAATCAATCTTAGCCATTATCCGTGTTGTCATGCATTC